ATCTACGTTGGTCCCTCTCTTTATTTAGCTTATTAAATCAAAGACAGAAATGAATAAAAATCAATAAATGTAGAAAAAAATTATGTTATCATGTCCATCTTCTCAAACTTCCGTTGGGTTTTGGATATGGTTTTACATGTAGATCGTGATCGTTGACGTCCGAGTTTTACCCTCCAAAGTTTATCGCACCCAGATGTCATGGCAGTATCCCAATAAAAGTGAAATGCAATTTCTACCTTGTTAGATAATTCTGAGTACATAATCTAGGATATCTAAACATACACAGTAGGCCTACTACACGTACCGTGTTTAGTCACCGTTTAGTGCAGTTGTACTGACGTAGTCTTTTGAGGAAGTGACGTCATGTGCAGTATCGGTTGATAGTATATACACATTCCCACGTGTGCTGCCGAAAATGCAAAATGTGTGGGGCATTGCGGCTTTTGTTACCGCTGTGAAAATTCTTCTTATTCCAACTTAGTGAGTATTTAAAAACCGAGTAACATACAATACAGTGACCACAAAGTGTATCTGTAAGCATCATATCAGGCTCGTAACAAGCAAGTTTCAGGAGTGAGTCCGAGTGTGTGTGTGGAAAGGGGCTTATCTGGAAGCTTTTTTTCAAGCGCCACATATACCTGCAGAAACATTTGATGGTAGTGCTACTCCTCGAAACTTCGTGCTGAGGGCTTAAGAACATGTATTGTGACAAAGGCAATGAAGGGAGGAGGGTGTCCCCTTCGCCTAGACCTGTCTGTTTCTAGTGCATGTGACTGACAATGGCTGTGTATATCTGATATGTGCTTAATATTTTCACATAACCGTAAATTTAATGATAGTCAGTTAGCATGCCCCCTGTGCTGCAAAAGCTCTCAGATTTTCATTTTACCTCTCACCTCTTCAAGTTGCCAAAACATCTTCCAGTTTACTAAACATCAGAATACTGACCCAGAGGAACCAAGAAATCTTTACAGATTTGTAAATCCTCCATTGTATTAACTTTAAAAGTGGGGCATGCACTATGACAAGATATGTCAGTCATTGTGTTCACATTGTTGAAATTATATTTTCAGTCACTCTACTGACTTTGAGGTCCATCGTAATTGGTTAGCAGTAACCAATAGTTTGCCATTGTCAAAGTGGTACTATGAGGTATGTTTGGAGTATTTTTGTATAATTGTCAAAGTTAACAGAATTAAAACTAGGCATTCAGTAAGAATAATGGTTCAAGAGATGGTGAAAGTAAATTGTCTTTTATTTTGTGAAATGGATTGCTGTAGCAATGCCTTAATACTTAGTGTGTTTCACAGTGTTATATTTTTAATGAGCATATCTTGAAGTAAAGTCTTCTGGTAAGGTGGGTCTTTGAAACAATTCAAAATACCACAAAAGAGCTTTTTTTTCAGTGATAATGTACATCTTATTATTTAGAATTACAATGCTTGAGATCTTTTTAATCTGTTTAGGCCACATCAGAATGGACATTGGATTACCCTCCCTTCTTTGCCTGGTTTGAGTTTTTGCTCTCTCATATAGCCAAATATGTGGACCCACAGATGGTGGTGATAAAAAACCTCAACTATGCAAGCCATGCCACAGTTTTGTTCCAGAGATTTTCTGTCATAATTACAGATTTTGTTTACATCTATGCTGTAAAAGAGTAAGTGAATATTAAGAAAAAGTGCAAGTACACAATGGAAGTTAAGAATTGCATTTAAAGCTTCTTATAGACATTTATTTTGGTATCGTTACTATTTAAGGTGCTTTTTCATCAATCTATACTAAAAGGTACTTTGTGATTACAAAAAATGTGAAATATGAGACAATATGTTGCATGCATACGAACAATAGGCAAAAAAAATATATTTTTAAATTACCTAGCTTTCCTTGCATAGGTTTGAGTTTTTTTACAAATCAAAACCTCAAGTAGAAATATTAATTTTAATGATGTTAATGTGTTTTAATAGTTTTATTTTCCTGACAGATTAATTATTTCCTTCCTTGTGTCTACTTGATGATTTATTGTAAATAAAATGTATGAAAATTATCAAAAGCTTTTCATTTCCTTTATTCAAGGTTCTGTGAGAAATGTCTGCGTCCTGTGAAAAGGAGTCCAGAGGGAGATGTTTTCTCCAATTCTGTGCTCTCTCTGGCTGTCCTTATGATTGGAAACTTTGGACTCCTCATTGTTGATCGTATCCTTTAAAAAAAATGAATGATTTTTTATCATCTTGCTTCCTTATCCTTCCCTCCCCTCTCTCTCCTTCTCATTTCTGTTTCTCTCATTTTCTCACCCATTGTCATATCCAACTGTTCCTTCAGCTACTCCTGTATTTACGATTTTATGCACAAATGTAGTTTATTGTTTGTAACTCAGCTGAAGAAGTTTTAGGTGAAAGCCTAGGGTTAAAATCTCAAAATTGACTTGAAACAATTGAGGATGTGAAGAACTGGTTGCCTCTTAAAATGGATATTTTTTTTCCTTTTGGCAATTGAAAGTTAATTTTTCTAGAGAAAAATGTTATTAGCATTTCTTAAGACGATGTACAGATATTCATTTTCAGTACAATGGATTTCTGTTTGGGATCTTGATGCTGTCTATAGTAAGAATATATGAGGTGAGTTTTTGAGTATTTCTAATTTAAAAGCTTAATATATTTATGTAGAAATTTTGTTTGAAAGATTTGCATTAGTGTTGCTAAATTTTTTGTGGAATGAATTTAGTGAATATCAAGTCCCTAGTCAGATGGGAAATTTCGATATTTATTTGAAGTCCTAAAGATTTCCTTCAAACAAGAGCTAGAATGGACATGGCAGGTGCTTTACTCAGGGCATTGTCATGAAGTCACTTCAGTTGTTTTTAGTGTTTGGTTATTTATTGCCAATATGTTACATTCACTTATAATTCTGTATTGCTGATAACATGATGCTTTTACTTATCTTTGTAGGGTCGCAATCTGGAGGCAGCTTTATTATTTGCAACATTACTGAACTTCAAACACATCTTCCTGTATGTGGCCCCAGCTTATTTCATATACTTACTGAGGTCACACTGCTTCCAGAATGCAAAAGGTAAAAGAGCTTTTATTTTCATTTTCCACTGGATAGTTATAATTGAGAGAAGAGGGTGTTAAAAAGCATTCATGGTTCCAGATTTAAGAAAGATAGCAACAAAATTTGTTTTTATTTTCTTATTGTATAATGGTGAAATCAAAATAATATTATTTTTTTCTTTAAATAATTAAGGAGGGGTTATCATAGTCACTGTGATGCTATACTTGAAGAACCAGTGCAAGAAAAAGAATTATGTTCCAAATGAAAACACCACTATTGCCTCAGCTTCATAAAAAGAACATTTAGAATATTGTAAACAAATGAATTCATTGCATTGAAAATATAATGTTTTATATGTTATATACACATACCAGCATTGTTAATTTTGAATGGGTGCATGCAGTTTTAGTATTTTAATATTTCTGCAATATACTTTCAGATGGCAGTATCTTATGGACCTCTTTTTCTCCTCTGCGCCTGCTCAAGCTAGGTACTGTGGTTCTCATGGTGTGTGGGATGTCCTTCGGGCCTTTCATTGCCATGGTGAGTAACCTGTATTGCTGCCAGTCTTTAAAGGAAAAAAAGTTGGACATACTGGCACAGTGGGGACAACTTATAGCAAATATGCCTTGCAATAGTTGTTAGATTTTGAGTGAGTAAATGAGAGAGAGAAAAAAAGATAAGTTAAAAGAAATATTGATGCCATAAAGTGTTCCCCAAATTTTGTCTCAGAAGTAGAGGGATAAGAGAAATTTATTTGGAGAAGAACTTCATGAAATATTAAACAGTGTTAATTTAGAAGTTTAATGTTTTAGAAGTTCTATTTCTTCACTTTTTTCAACTAGCACTTTTCCTACATCACTTAGCTCACTTACTTGTTCATTTAATTTGTTGTATCAAATTCTCTTCTGAGTAATAGATTTTCTAGTTCCCTTAAGTGTCACACTCATGACATGGAAATACTGTTTCTTCTGGTGCATTGACAAATGCTCATTAAGGATACTTTATTGTTCTCCCTTCTGTCTGTCTGAATAGGGCCAACAGTTGCAAAGTTTCTGACTCAGTTTCTGGGAGACCCTCGGGTGCCCTGTATTTTTTCTTGGCATTTAATCTTTAATTTTAGAAAAAGTATACCTACTAGTACATAGTGCCTCCATCTAGTGCACATAACTTCTCAAGTGGACTATTTATACCAGTCGGTTCAACAACTAGTCCCACACTTTGACTGTGTACCATACCCAACAAATTTCTCTTTTCCCGAGCAGCACTACTGTTAAACATGACCTGTGAAACCTTCTGACCAGCATACCCTTTCACAGAGTCTGAAAAAAAGTCTGTATTTGGATCAAAAACTTGATAGCTCTCACTTGTGTTTAACTGGAAAAATGTCAGAGGCCACTCCAGATTCATTGGTCTGCTTCATTCATGAGCAACAATACATAAAGCATGCCACTTATTAAGGTTAAAAAAGAAACTCAGAAATTGCACTGCCATGCTTATCAATGTATCTGTGGATTCTATAATGAAAGTTCAATTTTCTGGCTTTGGTTTTGGACATTTATTTATCATTTATTTATCTTTATTCAAATAAAAACACTTCATGTTCCAATATTCAGCACTTTATTTAACACAGCACATAGAATTTGTGCACCCATTCCGTCTAGCTCCATGACTCTGTTGACCATGTTGGTCATCTGTCTGGACCTTCCTCAGTCTATACTATAGACCATGCCTGCGTCCCACACTTGCCTTGACCCCTACTGACCACTACTATATTCTCCCTACAATTATAATAGGTTATTATTTCATCAAGTTCCAAACTGTAAAGGATAATACACAAGAGTACATTTTAAGGAACAAGTTAATAGTAACACGCACGTTTTTGAAAATTCATTTTACTGAAAAGCATTATGGATGATGAACAAAGGTGTTTGTTTTATTTCCTGAAAGGAGTGCTCATTGTTAGCTCATGAAAAGTCAAAAGAAAGATGCAAAAAAATAAAGGATGACCAGGTCTTGATGCCAGACAAATAAAAATAGCTCATAAAAAGTTAAAAGGAAGATGCAAAAACTAAAGGTTGACCAGGTCTTGATGTCAGACAGGTTCGCATGCTTATCATCAATCATTTTTGGTTATAAAACGTGTCATAAATAGTATGATTTATGTGAGGGTGAGACAGTTAGGCTTTCAAGATATAATTTTTTTTTGCTTTTATGTACCTGGTTGCCCTTATTGTTTTTTACTATCATTGACAGGCATGTGCATTATTCATTATGGCAAGCTAATAGTATTTAGAACTGAAGTATGAAAGGGTCATTACTGTTTCTTATCTGTTGAGTTATTGTACCACCAGCGTTAGCGCTGGCGGTACACATGGTTTCGGTCCCATCCGGATCGTTCCGCCGGCNTGCATAGTTATTTCCTGCTTTTTGTCTGTACATTTGACAGCTTTGCTGCCTTGTTTATATCTATTGATACGGTTTTCTGTAACTCTCCAGTTTGACTGGTCATAAGATTGGGGGTGGGGGTGGGGGGATGGTTTACCCCCTTACACAAGCCCCAGTGTACCAATCAAAATTAACCTGGTCAACTGGACATGTTGAGTACTGAGACTCTGTTAAGGTAGTCATATTAATAGCAAGGATGTTTTAATATTGAAAAGTATCAATCTCTCAAGCTGTTAAGATACAAAAAACTGTACCGCTAGATGTGAAAAGGACCTTATACAGGGGCGGATGGAAGCTGTCTTCTGGGTCTTCTAGAAGACACGAAAATTCACATTGACAGGCATCTTATTTTTTCTGTCAGAAGATGGTCAAAACACGGAGGATGAATCAACAAAAATAATTTGAAAGACTGTCAGAAAATATCTCTGAATTCGCCAGTTATATGTTGCCAAGGTACACGTACAGTAGTTCTTTCTCTATGCAGGGCCAGCTTCCTCAGGTGATCTCCAGGCTGTTTCCATTCAAGCGTGGTCTTTGCCATGCTTACTGGGCACCTAACTTCTGGGCACTGTACAATGTGGTGGACAAGGCTGCCCATATCACAGGTCAATGAGGGGAGTTTTTAGTGTTATTTTATCAGTGTATTTTCAGGTGGAGGACACTTACAGTAATTATTATTGCTTTTTCTCTTTTGGTCAGTTTACATTTGATTTTGGGTCAAGTCACTGTAAAATCTTGTTTAAATGTATTTCAGATAATAACTTTTATGATAATAATTCTGTTTGTAAATAATTTTTTAAATTATTTTATGTTCCTTTCCATAGGGACCAAACTGAATCTCTTTCCCTCCACAAACAGCAGTCAGGCAGCCGTAATGACAGGGGGGCTAGTACAGGAGTTCAACCATGCAGTGCTGCCATCTGTGAAACCCATAGCAACGCTGGTGGCTACAGGGCTTTCTATAGTGGTGAGTAACTACAAATATGAAGGTAACTTTAGGGGTTGGGGAAATGGGAATTTGGAGCACATACTTCCCTGCAGCTTTCCTAGGTAGATTTCACTTTTATATGCCAAGAGAAGCAAAATTAACTTGAAATTTAGAAGCTTCAATTTTCCAGTATCTTATACCTTAACTAGTTTTTATTATTATAGTATATACCCCCCTCCATAACATAACAAATTGATGCTAATATATTTATTATTATTATTATTATTATTATTATTATTATTATTATTATTATTCTAAAGTGTGTTTGGAAATAATGACTTTACTTTAAATTTAAGCCTGCGCTGTTCCTTTTGTGGAGGGGCTGTTACGGACCGAAGAGTTTTGTACGCTGTTTAACTCTCTGTGCGTTCGGATCCTTCATGTTTGGATGGCATGTCCATGAAAAAGCCATTTTACTAATTATAATACCAATGAGGTAAGCATCTTAAACTTTTTTTCATGGGAGAAGGCTGTTAAAATGTAAACCACATATTTGTATTTTGAGAGAAAAGATTTGTAAAGGTAGATTACATATTCTGAGCTGATAGCAGCTTAAGGTATTTGAAAGTCACACAGAGTGCATTGAAAACAGTGGACTAACAGATATGTGAATCAAATATGAGGACCCACTAAAATGCTTGCTAGTTAATTCCTGATAAGACATTGAGTAGATTCCCATGGGGATAACACAGCTAACATTCAAGTGGGTTGGCCATATTTCATCCGTGGATCTGCTAGTCCACTATTCGAATGCGCTCATACACACATACTTAGCTATACTTAGCTATATGTAAATTGTTAGCTTACCAGCTTGATTTCTGATGTCCTTACATCAGTAGAACTGTTCAAGATTAGATTTCTTTAAATGTACACACTGACACTTTTTACATTGTAATACCAACCGACTACACATAGTATTAAATAGCTTTGTTCTCTCCAGCCTCCTTGCTCTAGAGAAGAAGAGAGACGGGCAGCTATTTTTATTCCTGGCCACCACGGGCCATTTCTCTCTCTTTCCACTGCTGTTTACAATAGCAGGTAAGTTAACTCTAAAAATTATATGTTGTCCTTGCATGATGAAATGTGATTTTTATCAGAAGTTTGTTTTGTCTCAGTTTACTGATGATATGAAAAAAACTTTAAACTATATAATAATATAAGATTATACAGATCTTTTTGAATTCTGCTGAAAAGATATACATGTGCATACCAAATTAAAAGTGAGATTAATTGGGTACATGGACTTAATTACCTTTTGTTTTAAAATTTATAAATAAAGATTACATTTATTGTACTTTATGCAACAGAGCTGGTGACATTGTACGTTATAGATATAAATACAATAATAACTTATATAAGATAGTAGTATGTAATGCTAAATTTAATTAATTAAACTATAGCAGTGCAAATAAGTACATGTATTTCTGCAGATATATTGCTTATATAATTATGTGTTTGGATGTACAAGATATGTGTCTATGATGCCCTATTGAGTTAGTTACAATACAATTCTTTACTTATGTATACTTTTTCAGAAACACCGATTAAGATTATTTTAATGTTGGTCTATACAATATTTGCATTCACAAGCTTAGGAGAAATATTTGGGTAAGTTTTTTTTTGTTTAGGCACTTACATAATAATAGTAGACTGCAGTTGTTTTTTGCTTTATAATTAGTCATATATGGAATGGAAAAACTTAATAATGCTATTCATTTCAGTTTTGAATTTACAACATTTAAATGCTTTCAGATTTAAATCTTAATTATGACAGAAACTGCAAATTTGTACATTGACTTTAAGGAATTTGTCAATCTGTAGAGGTTTACATGTAGAAGAAAAAATTTATTACAATTGTTTCAGAGTATGTTATTCTCTCTTTATCAAGGTTACCAAGAAGAGGACTTTGTCTACCTTTACTATCCATTCCAGAGTCATTGTATATTTTGGGTCTCATTCCAGTACAACTGTACTGCAGTGTAGGCCATTCTTTATTACGATTGGACGAAAAACTTCCGTTCATACCTTTGATGCTCACATCAGCATATTGTGCTTTAGGAGTAACATACTCATGGCTACGGTTTTATTGGTTAACGTGGAAGGATATTTGCATAGAAAAATCCAAAAAGAGGGAATAATCATATGCAAGAATAAAAAAATGGTTATTTTCAAATATTTCCATATGATTGTTATTATGCTATTGCAGGCATCACATTGTCCTGAAATTGACGCCAGATGGACACAGAGTAATGGAAATGATTAAATTCGTATGTAATGTGTATAAATAGCAAGCCATTTATGAAGACATCTTAAATCGTCTTTTGACTGAAGGCGGGGTTTCTCAGATGCCTGCAGGAAGTGGTTCATGAACAGTGACAAAATCTTTAGCATACTGAAATAATTGCTGAATTTTTTTGGAAGCTCTTTTGTGTGGAAGTTTTAATGTCCATTTTGACTGCAATGGGTTTTTGTGACGACATTTTGTCAAATGGTTACATTGACCAGGTTAAGGTTCATCTTGCATGTATTCAAATATACTTGTTTGTGTGGGGATCTGATGTCGATTTCGGTACATTGTGACGCCTACAAAACCCAAATCTGAATGGGCGTAGCATGTATCTATTTGTAAACTGACCTTCACTGTTTAGCATAAGGTCACAAAGTTTGTATCTCTTTTTCCGTCTTCTGTAAGAAGGTGTAAGTAAGGAGTTATTAGACTCCTCAGGGACAGGAATGATTACAAGTTTGTTGAAATATGCCCCCATGAAAAATTGTCATAATGCAGTGCCAATTCATTATGTATTTGGGAAAAGAAGCGTCATTATTTGTGTGCATATGGGACTCCTCGGCTGTTTGTATTTGACTTCGTTGAATTTTGATGTCTTGTGTTAAGTTTTTTTCCCAAATAAGTGTTTAAAGTCTTACTTATCTTTTGTTAATCATTTACATTGCTAATAAATTGCAATATACAAGAGCAGCAATTTATTGGATTTTATAATTTCTTTTCAATCAATTTAATTAAAGCAATACAAAAGGATCTTGCATCAGGGACCTTGAAGATTTATTATGTGGATTCATGTTCAATACACCTAAATAATGGAAGCGCTTACATTCATTTTAGTCTTGAAATAAAGCTTGGATAACTTGAATTTTTTTTATAAGAGGGGTTTCAACAAACTAAAAATTAATGAAAAATACAGAATTCTGAAATCGGTGACGCCAACCAGGGACTTCTTATAAAACGCGCACCGAGGTGGAATTTTAGGCTACCCAAGTCTCTAAGCTTAAACAGAGAAAGACATGGCGAGTTGTATTTATCCAAAAAGCTCACCCAGTAATTACACAGCGATTATATCTGTATATCTGTTATTAAGCAATTCAACAATGCAATGTACGGTAATGGTTCGATCATTTCAACCGGGAAAATTATCAATTTTTCACAAAAATAATTGCGGAATCACTTAAAATATATTTCTGGGAAGTAATTTGCTTTTGCTTTTACTGTATAAATTAGAACTATTAGGTAATCTGATGTTCAATTGTGTTGCTTCTACTCAATAAAATGGTCTAATTTAAAGAATTTATTACTTAAAAGAATACAGTTTCTGCAATATTCTTAAAAACAATGGCCTGCTGAGTTGTAAAAGACAATTATATACATTCAGACTTTGCTTACCATGCATGGCCGTGAATCCTTGCACCATTAAATTTTTTAGCCTGGAGATTTTCAAAGAGTCAAAATTGAACGCCCATTGATATACGTCCTATTATTGCCAACGTTGTATGAATTGTTAAAAATCAATAGATGTACGTGTAAAACATCCTAAAAAGCCATTTGTGGTGTTTGTATACCGTTGATATATGGTTGTTTTGCTGCATGCATACAGATGGGCGTCGTTCACATCTTGACAGCCTTTAGCAAAATGTAATTTGCAGCAAATTTATCAAATTTAGACTAATTATTCAGCAAGCAGAATTTATGCTGCTTAGATTATGTTGCGATAACCAATTTGGGAACAAAGAAGCGAAATAAACATGACAAATGTTTTGAAAAAAATTGGCGTATATGTGTATTGCATTAAATATGAAGTTCATTCTTAAACGATCGATTTTTAACAATAGAGTAAAAACATTAACCGAGACGCCTGCATTCAACTCTAGCCTTTCCCCCGGTTTATCATGAACAAAGACTGATCTGCAGCAGCTGATGACAATGCTTTTTGAGGTCGGAAACGTGTCCCTATACTAGATTGCTTTTTGTGAGCAGTCTGGCAATAACGAGGACAGTGAGAACAGATCTGTGCAAATCAATAACTGCAGAGTGTAACTATCAGGTGTAGACCTACCAGTGTAACGTGACAGACGGTTTCCCATTGTAGTGAGTTCGCTTCCCTCAAATTAAAGAACCTGATGTCGAAATTTCCATCTAAAAAGTATATGGCGTTCCAAATAACTGACCAGTCATCTAAATGTTACAATTTTAAACGAGGAAGTTATTTATTCAATGAACAAAAATGTAAAATATATTGAGCCTACATAGTGCAATCCGTAGAACAAAAAAAATCGTTTCAGAATAAAGCCCGATTGGCGATAAAATTTCTTTAATTTAAAAATACGCAAGCGCCGAAGTGGCCCAGAAAGAGATTACATAGCTCATTTATTGAGTTGCATTCGACATCAAATGTGTCACCATTAAATATTGCACTATTGAGAAATATTAATGTGCTCACTACCAGTAGAGAAATATTTTTAGAATATGTGGAAATTGCAACTACCTATGAAAAGGGGAAGCAATGAATTAATGTTACATAATTTAAATCATATTTTGACACTAATATAAAACAAAAAGTTAAGAAAAAAACGTCCGATTGATAAGAGGAACTGGCAACAAATTGACAATTAAATACAAAATTTGCGGACGGTTTCCTAGATGAATTTATATTAATCTATTTACTTAAAAGTAAGTAAGTAAGGTATTATTGTATATTACTTTTCTGAAATGCTACATTTTTATTTGCTTGGTCTCATAAATCAATAAAATTGAGCTAGAGAGAGGTTACAGAAGTGCAAAAATAGATAATCTACCAAAAACTTATTTTTAGCCTAATTTCTTGGTTTAATTTCAAAATATACTTATTTGAACGAATTGCCTCAAGGGAAGCTATGATTATGAACATGCTGCTTTTTTCGCTGGCTAAAAATACCAATAAGATCAATGTCATCTGGTATGTAACAACGAGTACAAACGTCTCCTACAGCTATTCTGAGACAGTCTCTGACATATTCGAAAAAAAGCGTTATTAAATAGAAAAGAAATAGTTAAAACATTCCATATTGCATGTACATGTATATTCCAGCTAGAGAGAGGTATGACCAAAATTAATTTTAAATTGAATTAATTGGCTGGCTCTTTACCACGAGTTCAAGTGACCAGATTTGTCATAACACAAAACATAATCAATTTGAAGATTTCGTCTCTTTGTCTTCATCTCCATTTTTGATCTCTTTCAATGACTCGGCAAATGACTGATATTTGTTGAAATTGTTGCTGATAATGGATATCGGAATGCCCGTGAAAACCATTCCCGAAACCACGCATATAACACCAACTATGTACCCGCCAGCAGCAGATGGATACTTGTCGCCATAGCCAACGGTTGTCATGGTAACCAAGGCCCACCAACACCCAACAAGTACGTTGTCAATGTTCGAGACGGAACCGTTTACTTCTACATAAAAAATAAGAGGTCCAAATATCATCGCCCCCATCAGAAGAAATGAAACAAGGTATCCGATTTCTCTGCTGCTTGCTTTGAGGGTTAAAAGTATCACTTGAAGGTTCCGACAATAGAGTACCATGCGCAGGAGACGAAGCACACACAGTATCATATATAGGTTCATCAGAACTTTCAAACTGATATAAGCAGCATTTTCTCTTTGTTCCGCAACGATTCTTTCAACTACATAACTCTTTGTTGTTAGGGCAATGTCCGCAGTCCACGTAACAACTAGCCAAGAAACGTCTATTACTAACAGAAAGTGTTTCAATCTTTTGCACAAATTTGGCGTCGTAAATAATTGTAGTAAAATTTCTAAGGTAAAGAAAGCATTTAAAGTAACCTCACACGCCTTCACAATCGGGTTATTCTCGGTCGTCAGAAGCATTATTTGTTTTTCGTTGAAATTGTTTGGAAATGCCGACGCATTTACTGCACTTGAAGTTCGAAATTCTGGGATGCTCTTCACTGCCAGTAGTGAAAATGATATCCACAACAGCACTATGTACGTGACCATCCAAGCCTAAAGAGAAAATGGATAAAGAATTAATGCCACAATATGCTATAAAATGATAAATTGCTATTTGGAGGTTTGTCGATTGGAAACGTTTCTCATGTATACTACGATCGATATACTGTAACTTATTTATTTCAATAAAGTCACGCCTGAAAACGATAATAAAAATGTATTGGACAAATGCAAAAAAAAGGTTTACAATTTCTATACAAATGTATGAAACACGTAGTCTTTCAAAAATAATATGGTTCTGGACATAGCAATTGGGTGCACATCTTTAGACATTAACACGACCTACCTACTTTTTATGAGGTTATTAGTATATTATCTCAGATGTGCCATCTTTAGTGTAAGGCCCCATTCAGAATAGGGGACTAACTAGTCCGATGGTCAAATATGGCGACCCAATAATCCCGCTAATAGACATTGAATAGATATTCCATGGGGAAGTATTCAAGTGGGTCGGCCATATTTGACTAGCTAGTCCCTTATTCTGAGTGAGGCCTAAATGTAAAATGTCTATCACCATATTTACCTTAGCTCCACGTGATGATGACGGAATATTTAGGAACACCCATAGTCGATACCTGTATGAATCACACGTCCCTTCTTTATGGTTATAAATGACCGGTGAAAATTGACTGAACTCTTTCTCCAATAATTTCTTTTCTTCTTGTTCTTTGTAAAAATCCTGCACAATTTCTTTGCAGCAAGGCGCCAGGTTTTCTTCTCCAATTTCCCAGAATTGAAGTTCCAGACGAATTATAGGCACGCACAGAAAATGGGGAAAGTGTAATATATTTGTTCTGTAGAAGTTCAAAATTGGGCCGAAATAGACTGGGTCGCGATCAAAGTAAAGCTTATCTGCCCTTTCCTTAATGCATCCCCTGTCCTCAGCTAATTTCCCTAATCTTGATTCAGGCCGTTTGGCAAGCGTTGTCCAAAACGTGGTGAATTTCTTTCCGGAGACATTGATCGTGACTGTAGCCTTCTCTTCCTCTTCCAGCAGCCTCGGATTTTGATGATCAAGAATCGGATTTCTATGTCCCGTCATCTTATACCGTATTATTCAGGATATCCTTAATTGTCTATTAACCAATGGGCAGTTACGCGTTAGAACCAACGCTTAGAAGATGTCAAAGATTTACACTGCAGGCCTCAGGTAAACAGTTGCAGGGCAAAAGATCAGAAGATGGATTTGAGATCGTAAATCAAACTGAATGTTTCATCTATCTCATCCTATCAAACAGACAGGTAAATTAATCAGATGCTCAATAATGGCATACTGTATGCACAGTTGTTAAGGTTACATTTCACATATGACGATTTCCCATTGCTCCTCATACACATGGAGTGATGAATTTATAATGACTTCTTTTGTTTCTTCATCTGTGATATACTACCTGTAGAATGTGTTTCCTCCCAAAGGCAAAAGTCGATCGACATCATTCACTTGGTGTTTTATTGTCCTATTTATCCTAAATATACCCAATACTCTCAGTGATAGATAATTTGTATTACTACCAAGGACGTGACATCCGGAAGAGTTGTCATATGATTCGGGAAAAATAGAAATCTCTCGTGCTTAAAGCCGTTTAAATTATTTAAATGGGCCTATTGCTTTTGTCAAAACCTTGGGCTTTTGAATTGATCATCGACATAATAACGACGCCATATGTAGCAGACAGAGGAGTTCGAGATAAAGAACAAAATGTGTAAAACAAATAAGTAGTTATTTTGAAATAAATAATATGATCCGAAAAAAAAAAACGCGTTTGTGAATAAATGGAAAGGGCGAATTTACGTGATGGTTAATATGTTTATTAATTAAGACTATAAAACTGACATTGCAAACATTAAAGGGAAAAAAATATTAAATATAAGTAATTTCCAGAACTCCAATATAACAAACACAAACAGGCACATTCAAGTAAACGATTCAAAATCGGAAAATAGAAGTATGCACTTATGAAAAAAAAATCGTCAGAATCTTGGTTTTGTTATAATATTGATTGTTAACTATGAGCAAAATAGGTATACACTGGGTTACGATTCTGATTTGTGTAATAATCTATAAAGTTATCTTTAATGGCAGTGTATATGCCAAAGCCAAAAGCAGCGACCCTTAGACAAAATTATGACAAACTTTTCATATATACGTATTAGCATTGCACCAAAATAAACATAGAAAGGTTCGACCAAGCTGTGTACTGAGTAATAAGCTGCATGCATAAAGTAATTGCCA